GTTGGTGAATTATGCAGGTCTGCTTCAGTCTTAAATAAAATTTTCTATTGATGATGATGATGATAATTTTTAATGAAAGTAAAATCTTACTAATGGTTTGTTCTTCAACATGGAAAAGTAATAGCTCTTTATCTAAATGGATCCGAAGCTGAAAAGACTTGATCAAAGATGTCAAAAAGTTTAATTCATCTCCCTACATTATCCTGTATAATGATAAAATAGATAATATTTTAATCATTTTACTTCATATATAAATTGGGTATCATGAAGTTTACATTGTTTAAACTTAAATTTCACATGACTATCTGTAATACGATTAACTGTTTTTATGTTAATCACTTTAGTTACATTAGTTTTATTCCAGTATTATATTAAAAACAACGAATGTTTTGGAACAGCTTGACTGTCCTGCTTCAGGTCAGTTATATGTGTTCCATTTAGAAGGTTTGTTCTATCGCATTCTACATTTTATTTGAATTCAAATTTCAAATGTTTTTTGAAATTTACAAAATTTAAATTTACCTAATGAAATTTTACAAACAATGTATTCTATTTAATTTTATATTAACATCCCATGGGTTAATTGAGTTGTTATAATAATCTTTTTTGGGGTTATCATAAAAAAGCTTTCCAAGCATATAACATACCTGCATCTCATATGTTAATGCACTCTCTCTTCAAGACTGTTTTAAATATCTCTAACATCTCTAAAAATTTAGTTTCTTCTCTAGTAAAACACTTTTAATCAATGCTGCTTGCTCCAATTTAGCTTCAGTTTTTGGTTCTGAGGCATATATGGATAGCACTGTTGTTTGTTTTTCTGTTTCAATATCATATTTGTATTCTTTAATCCTGCTTCTAAGAGATCTATTTGTGGCTCCAATGTAAATTAAATTCTTGTCAAATCTTTTATCATTTAATGGTTTGCTATAAACTGGAACTCTGGTCCTATCTATGATATCTTTATCATTTTGCAGCATTTGTGTATACTTTTGCCTGTTTTGTATGTGGCCTCTGTTCCTCTGTTACATGTAATTACTTTGTATATTGGTTTCAGCCTCTTGTCATATTTCCCCACTATGTTTGCAGACTCAACTGTTTTCATCATTCAGGTGGTATCTTGTCAAATATATGATTTTGTGGGAATCCGATAGGTAAGAAATGCTTATGTGGGAAGTCAGGATGACGAAAGCTTTGTTTCTCACTCCTGATCAGCCTCAGATCGGGAAGATCCACCTACAGGGTCACTAGGATGGATTTTTGTAGTATTTGATTTAGGTAGTTTGTTTGATCTAACTGTCAGTTTTTCCTGACACCACTCTTATTAGAGCATTAGGCACGCTATTGATTAAATTAATATACCTTTCTGAGAGGGAGGAGACGTGGACCCGTGATAAGACTTTGGTGTGGAATTGAGTTCATTAACAAGATCATTCAAATCATCAAAAACAAACTTTAATAAGATACAAACAAATATCATATCGATATACAAGGTGATTCTAAATTCCTACCTATTTGCGAGAGAGAGAGAGTTCACAATATCTTAACACACACTACCTTGACTGAAGATCTAGAAGGTAATCTTCTTTAACAATGGAGTTTCTTCAGCGAAGCTCTTAGATGGAGGAGGGATGAGAGAATGCACAAGTGAGATTTTACAAGAAATCTATTCTTTTGGCAGGTTCTTGGGATTGTTGAATGACTTCTATGGCAATGTCATATTTCTGTTGACTGCCTATCGTTTATTTGGCATGTTCAAATTAATCGAGATTTGCCATCTGTATGGCAATGTCAGGTTTCTATGGACTGCCTGTCTGATATGGCAACTCCAAAATCTTGTGGACTGCCTTGAATGGCGTGAAGTCTCCCCTTTTATCATAATTTCTGACCAATAGATTAAAGATTTTTGTTTGTAAATGGGTTGTAGAGGGGGATAGATATCCAGATGGTTAGTTCAGTTTGGAGATAAGGTCCTGGGAAAGGAAGTTAATTTCTCCTTTCAACACAAAAGTGACAGCTTTGTCTTCCTTTTTTGTAAACAACATGAAAAACTAGATATATTTCACACACTAATTACAGGGATGCACAACCTTTTGTGAAGAAGGGCCAAATTAGGATTAAGTTTACTGACTGGGGGCCGGACCTCCAAGCGATTAATGCGATGGCTGAGATTGGATGCTGGTGGTAATCTTCTTGATGTCTGGTGTAATGGCAGATGTTGAAACAACCAGCAGATTTTCCAAATTCTCTTTGGTTAACCTGTTCCGTGTTTTGCACTTGTTTAAATTCATAAGCGAAAACGCTTATTTGCATACATAGGTACTGCCAAACATGCTTGCACAAAATCGAGCATTGTCTTTCAGTTTTGGAAATGATGTATCTGGCAGTTCTNAACTGACCTGAAGCAGGACAATAAAGCTATTTGAAAACATTTTTAGTTTATAAGATAATAGTGGAATAAAACTAAGGTTACTAAGGTGATTAATATTTACATTTTTCCAGTTTTGATTTGTTTCTCATTAAATATTTTTATAATTTATATTATTATATATATTAATATATGATATCTTATATTTATCTATCAACATTGTGTATTATAACATTGTTTTTCTACTCTTTGCAGTCCTCATAGTAATTGTTGGAATATTTTTTACCATGAAATTATATAAGAAAAAGAAAGCTTTAGAACAAAAGAAAGTATTCTCATTGGTTGAAGACATAATAGGTGTGAAATTAAACTTTATTACTTTTTTCTATTTATCATTTTGATATTTTGTCTGAGATATACATTAGAAATTGAATTTCAAATAGATAATTTAGCATGATTTAGAAAACATAGCTTATCAATTACAATTCTATAATTACCTTATCCTTGAGATAAAATAGATGAGAAGAAGAAAAATTGCAATTTGTGACAGTTTTAATTCTTTCCTATACAAATTTTTGTAATTTTTGATACTGTTGCGTCGTATTTCTTATTGATGAATTGGTAGACTGAAGCATTAATAACATTATTCAGTCAAAATGTATTTTGACATATATAGTGCAAACTATATAAGTTAAAACACATTTAATTGCATGAAGTTTGAAAAGGGTGTGTAATATTAAAAAAAAAATGCTTTATAATTCACATCTTCTGTAATATGAAGTCTGTGGAATAAGAATTGTCAATTCTTATATGGTTAATGAATAAAAGTTTAGTAATGTTTTGAAATATTGTATAATAATAAGCCGTTTCATTTTAACTAAAAAAATATGATTTTTAATTTTTAACACTGGATATCTATTCATATTTTTATGACAAATTTTAATTTATTGCATGATAACGAACTTAAATTAAGTTTTCCAAAATAAACATTTTATAACTACTTGGTAAAAGGTAAAAAGATTGTACTGATAAAAAAAACTTCAGGTTTTTTAAAGTTCTTTTTCAGAAAACCGGCGCACATGATAACCTCAAAAATTACTAAAAACTTTTAAGATTTACATTTAACCTTATTTACATTTATTATTTTATTATAATTGTAAGGTATTTAAAATCCTGTAATATACAGATATTAAATGAAATGTTTGTCTTTAAATAGATTTATTGAAGAAACAAAATGAAAAATGCAAAGCAAGTTCAGACATGGAACCAGTGTTAGCTATTGCTCATGTACGAGATATGCTTATACCACCAGCTGAAAGGTAGTTTCTTGATTTAATCTATGAAATGATAAATGCAATTGATCCTCCAATAATTTTTATGTATTTTAATGAAAAATATTTTATAAATTTACTTATATAATTTTATGATTTGTAATAGCAAAATATTTAATACTAACAAGGGAAGATTTAATATGTGGTCCTCTGAGTTTTCAAATGGTATTGTTTGTTTGGATAACCCTTGATATGAACCTTTACTTACTAAAGGGAGAAAGTGCACACTTCTCAAAACATTTTTAATAAAATTGAAGTTAAAAAAATCTTGATTGACTTTTAAGTTTTGCAGAACTTTTCTTTGAAGGTCATATGGTTTGGAGCAGCATTATTGACTCATATTTGCAAGGTTGCTGTTTTTCATCCTGATGAGTGAATTTTTCAAATCAATGCAATTTTTACATAAAGTATTTGTAAATTACTTTGTCTACAGTTTATATTTTGTCTATTTATTTTCTATTAATAAAGACGTAATTTACCTATGTAATTCACAATTATTTGATGTAAAAATTGTATTCATTTGAAAAAATTCACTCTTTGTGATGTGAATATGGGTGGTTCACAGTGTGATGAACTATGCAATCTTTGAAGAAGAGTTCTGCAAAACTTACAAGTCTCTTAGGATTTGTAATTTTCCTTTTTCTGAAGATTTTTGAAAAACATATTTCCTTTGCTCAGTAAAGGCTGATATCAAAACTTACCCACACAAACAGTATTATTGAAATCTCCAAGGACCATATTTCCCTTATAAGTATAACTGTTATAGTTTACATTCTTTATACTGTTTATTTATATCATCTTAACTTGGACTGTTCACTTATTCTTTAAAAATCAGCACAAGCAATTTTGATTGAAATAATTTCTTTATCATTTCAGAAAATCTTATTTACAATTATGGGAAAAAGCCGTTAAATTTTNGTCTTAATGCAAGCAGTCACAAATCACATCATTGTTCTATGACAGTTTGTATTTTACTTTTTAAGGGTAATAACATGATTATTTAAAGAAAGAGACAAGAAGCTACCATTTTTTTTGTTTTCATCAAAACTTCTTTCTGTACTTAAACCATTAAATTCCTTCTTAAGAAGAATAAAGCAATTGAGATTTGTTTTATTCTTTCCACCCTGGGCATGAGAATGTTTTTAATCATGCTCATTGTGGGATGGCTGGAAGGTAATGAACGGAGTCCAACATCTTATTTGAAAAATTCTTGGGCTACTCACCTGGATTTGATCTCATATTCCCCAGGTAATAGACTCGTGTCTTAACCACCCTAGACCACCATCTGGTCATCTACAATTAAGATGTTAGTGAGAGAGAAGAGAAAGGAGTTTTATTCTTCTTAAGATGGAATATGATGGTTTAAGTAAGGAAAGAAGTTTTGATGTGAACAGAAAGAAATGTTAGCTTCTTATCTCTTTCTTTAAATAATCATGTTATTACCCTTAAAAAGTAAAATAAAAACTGTCATAGAAATGGATTAAGTTTGTTTATGTTTGGACATGGTCTGTATTGACATTTAGTAGTTTTCACACAGTACCAATTTTTTTCTCTCTATACTATTACTTCATTTTCAAATTAGTTTGTTTACATGATTTAAAAGAATTTCAGGAAAGTTCTTCCTAAAAAGTATAGTGGGTGGCTAAGTTGGTTCAAAAATTCTGTAAATTTGCAAATTTGATTTTAAATTGTATATTGTATGATAGGACCTTTAAGCATCTTGACTTAACATGTTAACTGCCCGCTGTAATATGATATTTTGCGTAATGGAGGCCAAAATGAGAAAATTTGACATCTAATATTTTATTTTAATGTAAATAAAAGGATCGATATATAACAGTCAGGAGAGGGGCAATAAGAAAGATATATGCACATCGGCGGGCAGTCGTATGGCCTTGAATGGGAGACTACTTCCCCCGGCTATTTATTTTACACCCCTCTGTAATTAGATGTCCTCCCCTACTTAAAAATTTTTACATCTTTGTGTTAAAAGTATTTCAGCTGCAAATGTTGTTTTTTTCAGTAAATATATATTAAAACGCACTTATATATTTTGATTTTTTTTTGTAATATTATTTACTTTATATGCAATAAAAGAGAATAATTAAACTAGTTTTTGATATTTTAAACTATTTACTATTAAAATAAACCACTATCAGATATAAAATAGATTTTTATTTAAAAAAAAACTACGACCACTGACCTTGAAACGCTTCATGAGGCCATATGGTACGCAGGCGGTCATAGCCAAGGAACGTTCTGGCCATCCGACCACTTGCGTTCCAAGCCAAATGCATAGACGTCCACGAGAGGCCACCACTAGCATGCAGAAAAACGCCTTACGAAGCCAGGATAATTTAACCTTGAGTGAAACTACATTGTTTAATTGACGGCGAGCGGTTGGATGACGCTGTGCAGCTGTACGCCGTACAATCACCGGCACGACGGATGGCAGTTAACGTGTTAAAAGACCTATTATACATCTCACAACAGATAATTTTAGAAGTATGTCACAAAAAAGACAATAGATTTCTAAAGGAAAGATGACAGATGTTATCTATGCTCAAAAAACAGTTAATCCAGTCTGGCAGAATAGAGATCTATATATTGCTGAGAAGACTTCTTTCCATCTTATTTGTTAAAGTTGAAAAAATGGTAGAAAGTTGAGGAAGAAAGTTTGTCAACACAAATGTTACTAAAGAGATTAAAACTAGTTTCACTGCTGTCCAGAAAAAAAACATGATTCTTACCAAATGTGAGAAAATTCTTAATTCACACAGAAGACAAACTAAACAAAAAAGACTTACTATTCTTTAAACTGAGGATTTTCTTCTATTTAGTAATAATAATGCTGAAAGTTGATACAGGTTTTAATGCAATAAATTATTACAATCAGTTGAATTACAAAATCAACTTCTTCATAATTTATGATATTCAAAAAATTTTAAATCTGTGTTTTATACATCTTTTCTAAAGCTATAATTCTGTACAATATATTTTATTTATGTATTATTGTTATTTTTTAAAATTAAATCAACTCAAACATATTGATACAAGCTATAAATCATATAACTAATTGTAAACACAGCTCTTCTTATATGGTGAATTCATTATTTTGTAAAGTTGTTTCACAAAATAAGATGATAATCAGTCATTGCAAGTATCTGGATGATGATGATAGATCAGAAAGCAGATAAAAAATTTTTAGCATCATTCAACTTTAATGATTGATAAAGTAACTTAAACAAGAACTCTTGTATGTATGTGCATTTACAAATGGCAATTGTGTAACTAATAGGAGCTAGGAGCTAATATACAGTATATATATATATTTCATACATTCCATCACATACACAGCATATATTTTTAATTGCATATGCCATCATCCAAGAAGCTACCATTTTTTTCTGTTTACATCAAAACTTCTTTCTGTACTTAAACCATTAAATTCCTTCTTAAGAAGAATAAAGCAATTGAGATTTGTTTTATTCTTTCCACCCTGGGCATGAGAATGTTTTTAATCATGCTCATTGTGGGATGGCTGGAAGGTAATGAACGGAGTCCAACATCTTATCTGAAAAATTCTTGGGCTGCTCACCTGGATTTGATCTCAGATTCCCCAGGTAATAGACTCGTGTCTTAACCACCCTGACCACCATCTGGTCATCTACAATTAAGATGTTAGTGAGAGAGAGGAGAAAGGAGTTTTATTCTTCTTAAGATGGAATATGATGGTTTAAGTAAGGAAAGAAGTTTTGATGTGAACAGAAAGAAATGTTAGCTTCTTATCTCTTTCTTTAAATAATCATGTTATTACCCTTAAAAAGTAAAATAAAAACTGTCATAGAAATGGATTAAGTTTGTTTATGTTTGGACATGGTCTGTATTGACATTTAGTAGTTTTCACACAGTACCAATTTTTTTCTCTCTATACTATTACTTCATTTTCAAATTAGTTTGTTTACATGATTTAAAAGAATTTCAGGAAAGTTCTTCCTAAAAAGTATAGTGGGTGGCTAAGTTGGTTCAAAAATTCTGTAAATTTGCAAATTTGATTTTAAATTGTATATTGTATGATAGGACCTTTAAGCATCTTGACTTAACATGTTAACTGCCCGCTGTAATATGATATTTTGCGTAATGGAGACCAAAATGAGAAAATTTGACATCTAATATTTTATTTTAATGTAAATAAAAGGATCGATATATAACAGTCAGGAGAGGGGCAATAAGAAAGATATATGCACATCGGCGGGCAGTCGTATGGCCTTGAATGGGAGACTACTTCCCCCGGCTATTTATTTTACACCCCTCTGTAATTAGATGTCCTCCCCTACTTAAAAATTTTTACATCTTTGTGTTAAAAGTATTTCAGCTGCAAATGTTGTTTTTTTCAGTAAATATATATTAAAACGCACTTATATATTTTGATTTTTTTTTGTAATATTATTTACTTTATATGCAATAAAAGAGAATAATTAAACTAGTTTTTGATATTTTAAACTATTTACTATTAAAATAAACCACTATCAGATATAAAATAGATTTTTATTTAAAAANATTCCTTTAATTTTCAAATATTTATTGCTATATCATTTTATTAAATAGAGAATATGAAGATGATTGGCAGTTATATATTAAAGATGCCATATTAGAGAAGTGTGAAAACAATAACAGTATTGTTCATATACAAGTAGATACATCATCTAATGAGGTAAAATGTATTCTCAGTAATTTTAATGTATTAATAGTTGTACAGTATATACAGAAATGGATCATTTAAAACTTATGAATTAATGCATTGCATTTATTTATGTTAATTTTCTAAGATATAGTACTATTTACCTAATGACATCATAATCAAATCCATACATTCAAATTATCTCTAGAATGTGATTCTTTATTCATTATTTCAGAGGATAAAATGAGGATTATCTTGTTAATGAAGCTCACCTTATAGTAATAATCAAACAGTATGTCACTGGATCTTAATTGGGCCATATTATAGCTGGCATATAAAACCTGGTTATATGACATATAGGGTTAAATGAAATTATATGTATACTGTGCTGGGGTAAAAGCTTAAGTTGGCACAGTGAGTGACCCATGTGGTTATATCTTCCAAAATTAATGGTCTGGGTAGCATAATTTGTAGCAAATCTGTACAGTGAATAGACATTATGGATTTGAATTCCATTCCAGATAAATAATTTTGATTTCTTTTCTTCCAAAATATTCTATTTCTAATTTTATACAAGATGGTGACTTAATTGTTTATATGTACAGTGGTACCTCAGGATACGAACGCCCCAGCATACGAAATTTTCAGGATACGATATGAAATTCGAACATATTTTTGCTTCACGATACGAACAAAAACTCACCATACAACGTTACATTAGTTCGCATTTTTCATTTGTTTTCCTTACTACAGTTATTTTTTTAAATGTATTACTTGGCTTTAATTTGAGTATGTTTTTCGCGTTGGAACGAATTATTTGGTTTTACATGTAATCGTATGGAAAAAGTTGATTCACCTTACGACATTTTCATGATACGATCTCAGTTTCGGAACGGATTAATTTCGTATCCTGAGGTACCACTGTATAAAGATATTACTTATTTTAGACCAATTAACTAGCCATATTATAATCCAAGTAAAATGTGGCAGTATTGTTTCTTTATATTATATTTATTAAGTATTTTTCTTAATTCTGATTGATTTCAGAAATATAATGAAAGGAAAGAAAATTCTCATAAATTAGTAATTTTATATTAGAATAAAAGTTATGAAAATATACATAAATCAAATACAGAATTTATTTTAGGGTTGTGTCTACTTAAAGTGTTTATCTCCCGAATCAGCCGGTCAAGCGTATCGTGCCCTACATGGATGGTGGTTCAATAGTAAGTATTGTTAATTATTAAACAAACAAAATTAAGAATCAATCTTACCAAAAAAATCTGTCTTTCAGGAAGATTGGTTACTGTTAAATATCTTCGCCTTGAACGATATCATGAAAGGTTTCCCGAATCTGAATTCACTACCACACCTTTGAAACCTTCCAATAACATGCGCCTATCTCTGTCGGCACCATTTCATTCATCACCTTTAGAAAGTTCGTGAAACTTAAAACTGCCAGCAATTGCAATAATTGACTTGTTTTATAGACTGGCATACAAAATTATTCCTGTGATTTGGGGACCGGGAACGGCAGGAAATATGGTGAAGTATATCGAATCAGCTCGATTACTGAGAATCACTTGGAGCGTATAACATTATGCTTTGCATGATATCACTTTTGTCTAAAGTCATATGTGGAATCAAAGTTACCGGTATATCATATATAAAGACGATATATTGTAGAATAAGAAATAATTTTTCTGAAAAAGTTTGCTTTTTAATATGTAGTAAAATTTTTAATGTTGCAGCAGTTTTTGACTTTACAGACTTAAAGTCATAATTATATATATAATATATTATATATATATATATCTTTATGACATTGTTAATAAAGAACAATGTGCCAGGACAGTTTTGATATATCAATACGAAAAAAAAGCACAAACAGTAAATGTCCTTTCCTATATTGGAATTATATTTGCAGCTAACAAAAAGAACTAATAAATCAACTAATGATAAGTTTTAATGTAACATTTGTTGTTTTACTTCTTTAAAAATCTTTTAATTGAATTTTAATAATAAAATTATTGATCTCTTTTTATCTAAACTAAGGTAATTTTAAGGGTACTTAAGATTAATATTTAATAACATGTCATGCATAAAATGGAGATATTCTTGAACAAAAGAAGTTTAAATTATCTTTTTCTCCATAAAGTAAGTTTAAAACCATTGTAAGTTCTACCATCAATAACACCATTTTTTAAAAATGTTTATTTAATTAGTTAATCAAAAACCCATGAATATCATGTCTTTTATGTTTTCAAAAAATAAATTAAAGATTATAGAAATAAAGGGTAACTTCAGGTTTTTTTCTTTGCTCACATATTTCAGAACATTTAAATATTTTTAGACAATACGGATGTCCTTTTTGACAATGAAAACGTTTCAATTTATTTACTACATTCAGATTATAATATAAAATTTGGACAAAGCAGCATACAAGTAGTGACATCAGATATTACATCACCCTTTATACTAAAAAGCATTTAACAGACATGCAATATAGCATATTTAATCTACAATTGCATGAACAAACAAAAGAATGGAGAACAAACAAAATACTCAATTTATTAAATATAACTTCAACTCAATGTAGCATTTCTTTCATACTGCAGCCTCACCAATACTGTTAGTGAACACTGTCAAAAGAACTTGCCATTCAGAGTTATGGAAGAAAAAAATGTTCATAGCTTAACTGTTCATTTTATATTTTTCGTTGAGCAATATCCTAATCCTTTTTAGGGCCACCCTGAGTCTTAATAACTTCTTTGCTACAGTCCAGCATAGAATGGTTGCATTTCCTGAAATATTCTATGTTAAGTTTGTGATATTAAACTTTTTTAGTACATTTTTGCAGTTACTGTATATTTTCAGACTTCTTTTCTGCAATTCCTGTGTTGATAATATGCCAGTATCTCTGAACAGGATTGAGAACCAGACCTCTTGGGGAAATTTTTTCCTAAACAATAATTTTCATATCAGTTTACAGTTTGTTAGCATTATTATCACATAGAGAAAGGACAATGTATTTTACTCACTTTCTTGGCATTGTGCTGAAAGATGCACAATTTTGTCACAAAATTATTCCTTAATTATTGGAATTAGCTTAGCAGAGATAATGATTTTATAGAACTTTGCATTCACAGATCCATCTGAAGTCTGTTGACACTTTTACTGGATATGCATTCATCTGAAATCATTAACAGGAGTTGCTTGATGCAAACAGTATTGGTCTCACCTTTTTGTGCAATGCATAAGGCTTGCCATCAGATCCATAAAGGTTAAATTTGGATTCGACTGAAAACACAGAATTCCACATGCCAATGCTCCAGTCCATATACCATTAGCTCAGATAAGACACCATCCACATATTTTACTCATCAGTAATGGCTTATTATGCAGATGATAGGTTTTCAAACTCATGTTGCACAGTCATGAGTTTGCTTGCTTTTACTCTTGTCTGCTCTCTTACTTCACTTTCAGTTTGGAAGAACTATAGTAGGTTCTCACAGACTGAGACACTTCAGCATCTTATCCTGGAAAGGCATACTCACACATCTCTTGATTCGACTTTTCTTTCAATGTTGCCAAGTTTGTGCCATCTTTGTAACAAATGCACAATTGTCAATTGATGGTAATACATTCTATGCATTATTTCACAAAAGGATAAACCTTCAACATTCAAAACAACAATTACATGATAACTTTTTTATGCAGTAATAATTATCAAAGGTATGACATAATCACTGGAAATGTTGCTGCAGTAGATTTTGCCAGCCAATGAAAATCATTCTCAAGCAATCTTTGCAGTTCCTTGTAGATTTGCAGCAATATTTTTAAAAATAAAAGTATCATTAACACATTTTTGTAAATTTTTCTGAGAGGTGCAATTTCTATGGTTGCTACTGTGCTTTTCCAAGAAGAGAACAAAAAACATCCACAGCAGGCATACAATGCCCTCAATTCTGGATTATATTGAAACTAATCTTTCTATAAGCATTAGTGATATCAAATTTTTTTTTTTTTTTTCAAGTTATATTATCTAAAACATATTTTTTCTAATCAATCAACTAACTTCACCAGATTTCAGTGTTAAGAAGTTATATAAAAATAATAATAATTTTATTTTTAAATTGTCAAAGTCTCTAAAAGAGAATTAAACAATTATACAGCGATCTCTAAATAATTAATCTCAATATGTAACATGTTCAAACACTTATTTTCTAGGAATTATCACATCCACAGACTCCATAATTACTTGCCAATCAACAATTTTACTTTACCCAGATGCATTTTGGAAATTACAATATTTCCCTGATCAGTGAGTTTTCTTCTGTACAAGGTAAACATGGCACAAACACTTTTTTCCCATAAATATTTAATCTGTTATCTCTAAATGGTCATTTCCAGTGTACAGATGGCCATAACAATTGTTAACAAATTTCAGTTCTTCATGAATATGTAATTTGATTTTAAGATGACCAAAAAATAAACAAACATAAGAATTGATCTAAAAAACAGAAAATAAACGTGAGATCATCTGGTGTATAATTATAGATGGAAAAAATTAATATTAGTTTTTTAGTGTTTTTAATTTAGCAAATTTGTTACATAATTATCAGTTTATACATTTGTTGAGATTAATAATAATAATAATATATAGCCATTTCTTTTGAAATGAAGTATTAGAGAGACTAGTTATCCTGCTAGTTTCTAATTATTTTTCCTGTTTATTACTATATACAATTTGTTTACTATTAGTGACACAATAAAATTTGTGTTGATTGGATAGCTTATATTAAATCTATAATACAAAAATATAAATTGACTGGTGAAGCATATCTTTATGACAAGTTTAACATTGCATAATAATGAGTTACACTAAAATTTGGATCATTTATGTTATACATATATAACGACATTATAGCTGGAGGCAGTGAAATTTGTAATCATTCTCTGCTGCTTGTTAATAATACTGATGTATGCTTTTTATAAATCTACACAGGGACAAACTTCAGGAGTTTCTGGTAGACCAAAGTGGTTCTATTAACATGTGTCTGGAAATGCACTGATGCTGAGATAGATGACACTAGTAGCATGAACTGCGCACAGGATATAATGTTGCACAACAGTACAACAAACGTATCACAGTAGATTCTCAAAATATCCTCCAAGAGTCTTAATGCAAGCAGTCACAAATCACATCATTGTATAATCATGTTACAACTGCAGGAGACTATGGTTGTAACATGATTATATGCCTATTCCCGTTGGCTTTTCTGTATGTGAATATCACGCTTGTCGGTTGCTGGTAGCAATAATTGGAACCTCTCACTACACTACATCACACTTGCCCCGTGGACCTGTTCAGCAGGTAGACACCATGCAGCATATTCCCACTTTCACTGCCATTATTGCTCTGATGACCTGATGTTTAGTGGTGTCATTCATCTCTGGTGCATTTCTGGACAAAAGCTAATAGGACCATTTTTGTTCTTTGTCCTGTTTGAACCATGCGGAAGTTTATCCCCATAGTTTGGAACTAACCTGTATTTTTTATCAGTATACATTCCTTCAGTTACATATTTTTAAAGATATTTTGAGAATGTTTTCATTATAATACAAATTTATTTTGAATTAATATGGTATATTTTTTTTTATTATAAATTTCATTTTTAAGCCAGCCAAATCAATATTTTATTCTAGCTTTAAGATTTACAATGGCCAGGAATTAATTCATAATTGTCTATAGTTTGAAAGCATTAAGTCAGTATTGAGAACAGATGACAGTGTTAATATTTACAATATTTATTTGGGCACTTTTAAGCACAATGTGTATAACGAACTCACTAATGTGCAACACACGTCCACATAATATAAAATTTCTGCAAATTAGTTGCATAATTATGAGTGTATACACTTGTTTTTATTGTATTCTTAGATGTCGTTATGGATTATCTAATTATCAGAATCATATCATTGATTTCACTTCCACAGCTAAATATGTAAAAATTGTATTAACTGTATACATGTAAAAATTATTTAATATTGATGCTTTTAATACAGTTCGTTTCTCTTTCATAACTTTTATCATCTTTGGTGTTCGGATTCTGCAAAATAGGGATGTTTGAACTTGTAAAACGATAACTTTTTTTGTAAGGTAGCGAGTGAAGAGGTTAGTTTATTTTAGATTATAGTGTCGTAATCGATTTCGAATGGAGGAATTCGATAGAAACCGGCTCTGGAGAGTTTATCTAGTATCGAGTTTCTCTGCCCTCCTGCAGGAATCGTGTGTCGTTTGTTTAGTCGTGAAGTATTAGTCTACCAACACGAATATGTTAGAATTGTGTGTATGATCATAAAATAAACCTACGTTTTGTTGAGTTTTCTTTTTATACGAATGATTGTATAAATACAGGAAAAAAAAAAACCTATTGGTGTCTTCGAAAAAATATCCAGCAACGAGTTGCTTAACTTTCCCGGCGACATTTTAAACTGCGTGTGTTGCGCCATCTTTTACAATATTTTATTAAACAAACTTTTATATTTTTAACTTATAAAATGGCAAAATTTTGAGGATAGGGATAAGTTTTATAAAATATTGTAAATGCTAATAACGAGTAAAATCGTCATTAAGTCCGACCGTACTGGAAATACGACAACACACGATGTCTTTTATCTCCCCAATCCTCAACCTTTAAGCACCAAAATTTTAATAGCATCATACCCCATAATGCAAAAATCTCCCTGAAAAATTTCAAAAATTTTCAGCAAAAAGAACAAGAGTTATTAAGCTTCAAAGAGGGTAAACAAGATTGCGCCTCCACACTCACTGACATGCAAACACAGGAAAAAAAACACCAAATTCTTTTTTGCATTTCTCGATGTTTGAAGGTCTTCTGAGTTCAAAATTTAAATAAATTTGATAAATTTAAAATATGATTAAAAAAAAGAAAAAAATTCAGCCTGGC